GGCCTAGACCCTTCTTCAGAAGGTCTAGGCCCGAAAGTCAGCTTTCCTGCTCCTCAGATGCTGCTTGGCCTGCTGTATTAATCCAGCTCAACACCTTGTTATCTCAGATTCTCCAACATCTGCAGTTTCTGCTATCTCTTAGTATGTACCATGCCCTGTGGCACTGCTGTCATGCCATCTTGCACTCAGCAGTAGTGGAAGTGCCTATTTAAACTCCAACTGAGCTCCATTTCAAATGCTACAAGCCAAGAATTGCCCTTCACAGTTTGTGAGTCTCAGGAGTTGCAAGGAAGATGTCCAACGGAGCCAATTTGGCATCGTGGTTTATGGGCAGGAACATAAGGTGTATGGGGTGTTGGAGAGGAGAACCATCTTCTTTTTCCTGGACTGAAAGAGGAGACCATGGCACCAGACCATACCAGCTTGCTCAAATGCCATTCCCACAGGCCAGAAAAATGTATAGTAATGCAGGAAGAAGTCCACAAGAATGAGTGCCACCATCTTCTCTTTGCTACCTCACACCCACTGTAACTCTACCATTGAACACATCTCACACCAAGGCTCACGGGAAGCTAGGTAAAGGTGGAAGGGTAAATCTGTTAATGGCATTTGTGCAATAGTTAGAGATTATCTTGGTTTAGGAGATCGGGGTGCAGAATTGGTTTGGTGGAGATGAAGAATAGCACGGGGAAAAAAGTCATGAGTGGGAGTCATCCACAAAGGCCACAATATGGGACAAAGTATACAAGAAGGAATATTGGGTACAAAGTGATAAAGGGACGTCAATTATTATGGGTGACTTTAATCTTTATATAAACTGGAAAAATCAAATCTTCCTGGGTGAGGAAATCATAGAATGCTTTTGAAATAGTTTCTTAGAGCAGTACATTTTGAAAGTGACCAGAGAAAAAGTTATATGAAAGTTCATATTATGTAATGTGACAAGATTAATTAATAACCTCAATGGTACGACCTGTCTAGGTAGTAGCAACAAATTGTTGTATATGGGAGCATCACATGTTGTAAAGTCTTAAAACAGTTGTTAACATTAACTTTAATGCACAACAAGAAAAACAAAAAAAACAAAAAAGTTCGGTATTTGCCTTTAAATTTGCAGTCAATTCACCCAACTCATGTTTATTGGAAGTGTGTATCAATTAAATCCTGCCTCAATTGTTGCACTTAACATTGCTCCACTTTATCATGCTGAAGGCAATGTTCTTCCTGCTCAAATGCCTCATGTTCCTCCTCAGAAAATGGTTGCCACCCTCCCAGCTCTTCAGCATCCATCATGTCCCCTCTTTGCCTGCTCCAGTTGTGCACTGTCTATGTGAACACAGCAGGCCAAGCAGCATCAGAGGAGCAGCAAGGCTGACGTTTCGGGCCTAGACCCTTCTTCAGAATTGGGGGAGGGGAAGGAGGTTCTGAAATAAATAGGGAGAGAGGGGGAGGCGGATAGAAAATGGATAGAGGAGAAGATAGGTGAAGAGGAGACAGACAGGTCAAAGAGGCGGGGATGGAACCAGTAAAGGTGAGTGTAGGCGGGGAGTTAGGGAGGAGATAGGTCAGGAGATAGCTCCCACGAGGAGCTTGAACAGTTCATCCACTTCACCAACACCTTCCACCCGAACCTTAAGTTCACCTGGACCATCTCTAATACCTCTCTCTCCTTCCTGGACCTCTCTGTTTCCATCTCTGGCAATCACCTAGAAACCGATATCCATTTCTAGCCCACCGACTCCCACAGCTACCTAGAATACACCTCCTCCTACCCACCTTCCTGCAAAAATGCCATCCCCTATTCCCAATTCCTTCGCCTCCACTGCATCTGCTCCCAGGATGAGGCATTCCATTCCCATACATCTCAGATGTCCTCGTTTTTCAAGGACCGCAACTTCCCCTCCTCAGTGGTCGACAACGCCCTCGACCGTGTCTCCCGCATTTCCCGCAACTCATCCCTCACACCCCCTCCCCGCAATAACAACCAAAACAGAATCCTCCTCGTCCTCACGTACCACCCCACCAACCTCCGGATCCAACGCATCATCCTCCAACGCTTCCACCATCTGCAATCCAACCCCATCACCAAAGACATTTTTCCCACCCCACCCTTATCTGCTTTCTGGAGGGACCACTCTGTCCGGGACTCCCTTGTCCGCTCCACACTCCCCTCCAGCCCCACCACACCAGGCACTTTTCCCTGCAACCGCAGGAAGTGCTACACCTGCCCCTACACCTCCACCCTCACCCCCCATCCCAGGCCCCAAGAAGACTTTCCACATCAAGCAGATGTTCACCTGCACATCTGCTAATGTGGTATACTGCATCCACTGTTCCCATTGTGGTCCCCTCTACATCTGGGAAACCAAGCGGAGGCTTGGGGACCGCTTTGCAGAGCACCTACGCTCGGTTCGCACTAAACAACTGCACCTCCCAGTCGCGAACCATTTCAACTCCCCCTCCCATTCCTCAGATGACATGTCCATCCTGGGCCTCCTCCAGTGCCACAACGATGCCACCCAAAGATTGCAGGAACAGGAACTCATATTCCGCTTGGGAACCCTGCAGCCCAATGGTATCAATGTGGACTTCACAAGCTTCAAAATCTCCCCTCCCCCTACCGCATCCCAAAACCAGCCCAGCTCATCCCCGCCTCCCTAACCTGTCCATCCTCCCACCTATCCCCTCCTCCCACCTCAAGCCCCACCCCCATCTCCTACCTACTAAGCTCATCCTGCCCACGTGACCTGTCTGTCCTCCCTGGACTGACCTATCTCCTCCCTAACTCCCCACCTGCACTCACCTTTACTGGCTCCATCCCCGCCTCTTTGACCTGTCTGTCTCTTCTCCACCTATTTTCTCCTCTATCCATCTTCTATCCGCGTCCCCCTCTATCCCTATTTATTTCAGAACCCCCTTCTCCTCCCGCATTTCTGAAGAAGGGTTTAGGCCCGAAACGTCAGCCTTCCTGCTCCTCTGATGCTGCTTGGCCTGCTGTGTTCATCCAGCTCTATGCTTTGTTATCTCAGATTCTCCAGCTTCTGCAGTTCCTACACTCTCTGAAACACTCTTGTCTATAATTTATTGCAAGTGCCCCCAGCCCAAACTATCCAAGCATCAAGTCTCCTCATGAAAAACCCTGTCGGCAGCCCACGATTACCTCAGTGGAAGAATGGGATGGCAATGTATCTATGCTGAGCATCACAAGGGTTGTGCTACAGAATCATTAGGCATGGTTGGGGAAGGGGAGCCCTTATCTCCCAGCAGCCATT